CTCAAATATATAAAATATTTTTTAATATTTAAAGAGCTCATAAAAAAATATAAAAAGATATAGAATATTTTCTAAGAAATATATACACGTAGTACAATGAAGTGAACAAAAATAATTAAATACATTTAGTTTTGGATGACGTGATTTGAAATTCTGGTCTTCAGTCGTTAGCTTTCAGGTCTAGGAAATTTTCTCTGACATGGGGCAAACCGGGAATTGAACCTGTGCCGGGAATGGAGAAGCGGTCCCGAATCGGTTCCGTACATAATGGCTCGCCATGTCGCGGATCTGTCCCTGACACAGCGACGCGGATCGATGAAATGCAAAGCGTCGACGGTGTCGCGACGCCCTGGTCTCCATCGCGAATGGCCGGCCGGCCGGCGTCGCAATTCGCAATTTGCGTACGTAAACGAAATTATCGGTCGAACGGCAAGCGCCGCCCTTTCTGCCCTTTATCGCCACTGTTCGTGAACGAGTAATTACGTTAGTGCAAATTTTCGAAATGTATCGCTCCATTATAATGATCGTAATGATAGTAATAGTCTGCGTCGCTCGCATATATCTGATGTCACAGTCAATAAGTGCTATACACCTGTCGTTGCGACACAGTTGTCGAATGTCTGTGTAATCGGTTCTTATATAGTTTTAGAGATATGTTGAAAATATAAAACTTCGTGTTGCTCCACATTCAGAGAGAAACGTAATAGTAGCAGCTATACAGATACATAGATATATAGACAAACTGTACAAGTTTTATATTATATAGAATTAATGTACATAGAATAAACTATTGTAGTTGCAATATAACTATATAACTGCTACAATTATATTTTTTTTGAATGCACATTTAAGACGTGATTAGCCTAACAATCAGTCTGTCTTGTAAATAATTTGAGATTTTGAAATGAGATGAAAATAGAACTCAGAATTGAACGATTATATTTAACGCCAAGCGTAACTTCCACAACGAACTAATATTCTTCATCTAATATAAAGTGTCAGGATATACGTTACAATATTTCTTCTCATTCCCAAGAGTTTGAGTATACTCTTTGCACTCATACAAAATCACGAAGATGACTCATACGACTGAAGTTGTGTGGAGACAGGAAGTGAAAGGGCCGTGTAAGAGTGCTATGTAATATTGTGGATGTATTTAAATCGCAAAACAGGTTCGGGAATATGGGAATTAAAGTACAAACTGGCCAAGCAGTCTCTCGAGGTGTCACTGGAATTGGAACGACTAGATAAAAGGAAAATGTGTGTGATAACATTTTTCATTTACATACTACGTTAAAAATTGATAGGATGCTTTCGGAACTAAATAGTCAGTCAACTCGAATAAGAGAGGTCTAATAAAAATTTTGAAATATGGTTAAAATATCTCTATAAATATAATATTTTATCTCCCAACAAAATTAATCTTGTTAATCTTTTATAATTATTCCACAGTAATATAATTTTAATATGTATAAAATTTTTTATTTATCTCTTAATATATATTAGTCATACATCTGTAACAATTGGTGTTAATTGTGTGTACATTTTGCTCATATAATTTTTCTCAAATAATATATAAATTCTCTATCTCTGTTTAATATAAAAGAATATGTGCGTGTGAACGAAAAAGCGAGTTAACATGATTGAGGAGAGCGTCGTCGTTCGAAAAAAATATCCATGCACAGATATCATTGAACTGCATATATAAGAGAAATGAAAAGGTCGATCATCGGCTAAGAAAAGTGAAATTTTATTCACCAGTGTAATTTGTGTTTGTAATTTTTTAATTTATTGGTAGGGAAATGTGCAAAACTCTATACCTCTCTTTTAAAAATTGAACAGAAAATAATCCCAAAAAATTAACAAGATGGGAAAATGTTTTTGTCAATTACTTGTATAAGTAATTGTTCATATTTTTGAATACGAGAGATTATTTACGTCCGACTCCCTCTAGAGTATGGAAGTTGACATAACGATATAAAAGAATGTAAATGAAGGAGCGAATTAGGAAACGCGAGTGAAAAATCAAGGAGTGTCGTTGATATGCTGCATGATCCACTCGATCATATAGTTATATCAACTTTCATATTCCAGATGGTAAGGCATAAATAATCGTATTTAAAAATATAAATTAAAATTACATAGGAATACACAATTATACTGACAGAAACATTGCAATGTTGAGCAATGATTTTCTTCAAACAATTTTTGAAAAGTAGGGCTCTGCAATCCTATATTGTTCTATAATAAATTGAAACAAATATAAATGACCATGGACTCGAGTTTTCTATTTTTCAAGTTTTTGTTTGTTAATTATGTAGTTTTGTGGTATCTGTGTGTGAATACTTTTCCCAAAGTTTAATACGATATTATGTAATTATCTCGTATTTATCTAAAAAAAAAATATCCTTTAGTAATATCTTTCATATATTTTTCATGTCTCTGGTATACTTTACAGAAAATTAATATTTAACTATTCACGATTTGTCACTTTCGGGTTTGACGTTGCCAGTTATAGTTTCCTCGTGCCGTCGTAAATCCACGCAAAGCAATTTTTATTTGAGTGAAGCCGATATTTTCCACAGCGACACGCCAATCCCGAAGCGTGATCTCACTTATGGTTGCGGCATGCGTGGTGCATGCCGGTATTCTCTAGGTGTACTATAAGCGCATGAGGAGGCGTCGTTGCGATCAAAACAAGTAGATACGTCAATGATAGATACGATGACGTATTCCTTCGTGTTCCCTCGAGAAATTCGATATCTGTCCGAGATATTCGATACGACTCACACACGACCTTGTCGATGAAATAGATCGGAACACGTAGGTAATTTTAGTCAGATTACCATATGCGATTATCGCTCATTATCAGCTACGAGTCTGGAAAAGACTCTGGAGAAGGATTCTTACAGAGATAATCAAGGAAATTGAAACGGTCAGGAAGTATCGCGGAAGAAATTACTTGTACGAAAAATGAGAACTTTATTGCCGTAACTGCTGTTGCATATCCGATGTGAAAGTAATCGAACTTTGCTACTTGCATAGCAAATTATTTGATATTACAGCGAAACGTGGTTTATATATTGAAAAATCTTGCTGAGTAAATTTGTTCGCAGAATCCGCTACTAAAGCAAATTTCATTTGAACGTTAAAGCGAAATAGGATCTATTTTTAGCAAATATTACTGTTGCAACGAAGTAATTTGCTGGTATATGGTTGCAATGCACGAGTCTTGAAATGATACTGCAGTTTTTATATGTCGTGGCGTGAAGTTATAGTTCCTTCCGATGCGGTTTTATGGAATCTTATAATAATCATTTTGTTTGAACCACTGTCGGAAACGATATATCGCTACACCGGATATAATGAAATTAATATGCTCTTCGCGGCGATAAATGAACGGCTAACTGTCCGCGAGTATCACTGTGCCTCCTTGATGTCTCGATGTATTAACAGAGGATCTTGTCTGTAATTATCGTCGGACAGTATTATGGAACGATATAATTATGCTACTGTACTAAGTACTTTTCTGATGACTTCCTGCTTGTTGCCGCGAAGTTGACATAACTGGCATTGACGCCTCTTATTTTGTCCTTGATGTCCATTTCTACATGTAGATTAACTTTAATCCCTGTTTAATTTACTCTTTATTTTTTTAATTCTTAAGACTAGAAAAAGATAGAAAATAAGTTAGACTGAGAATAATTATTAGTAAAAATAGACATAAAACAAATAAATCAGAGAGCCACAGTTTTTCAATTATCAATGTCTCTGTTTAAGTGACGTGTATACAGGGTAGATCTTTTATTTAAATTAGTAATCGAAATTAGTAATCGACTTTCTCATCAATATACAGTCTACTTTTTCTTAAAATGTGAAATATTACTAAACAAATAATTTTTTTAGAACAATTGGAAATGAAAACGTTTTAATAAAGACCGTTAAATTATTAAAACGTCTTGAAAATTAACATCGGGATTTAAAGATATTTTTTATGCATAATTAGAAAAATGTACTTAAAATGTAGAAAAGATGTGTCATATTTTTATATACGTAAGCTCTGTATTAAAACTTTTATCTGCTTGGCGTGATAAAGTGAAATGTCCTCATTACGAGGCTTTCGCTGCGAAAATGTTGACGTTTAAATAATTGGACGAGATTACAGGCTATACTATATCTATATAACTCGATTGAATGAAACGAGTGAGTTTATGTCGTCATGTTTAGCATGTTTTAATCTAGTCAGCATTCATTTTTGTCTTTTCAAAATAACATATTCATCTGCGAAATTGAATTAGTCTTGCCGAAATAGCATCATATAAAATTCCGAATAATAAATCATTTGTGTTAAATAAATGCAAGATAAAAGTGGAGTATAAAAAGTAAGGTAAATCTGTAAATATATCTAAGTCTGAAAAAGTTCAATATTATTATTAATTGGAAAAATTTTAGAATATCCTTATGTGATTTTTTTAAAATAATTTATTAATCGTTCAAATGATTTTTGTTCTCTTGTCTTTTTCAAAGAAAATAACGTTTACGTTTATGAGTACGTGACCTATCTTATAAATAAAATATTTACTGTATAATGGTCGATAAGTTCGCTATATTACCTGGCAAGACAGTTTACGTTTAATGGGAAAGGAAAATATACGTTTATTTATACCAAAGGAAAATATATACTTTGTATGTACTCAGTCATGTCGTAAGAATAATGTACTCAGTCGTCTGTTTGCATCTTTTTAGCTGCGCTTTTATTCGTTAAATACATTTTCTTTTCGTAAACGAAGCCAAGAATTTTTTTTCTTCTAAATCAGGCAGTTCCGTAAAACGAATAAACTACTTGACGCATTCTGCCCGTCAAAGATTTAAATTTACACGAGTAGGTACACGTTTATCGGGACAGAAAACGTTTTAACCACCTCGTTTCTGCTCCTCTCGTCTACGTACAGCCTGATGCAGCCGCTTTCAAATATTCTCTCTCTCACTTTGTGTTGCAGGCGGTGTCGGAGAGGCTTGAATTGGCACCAGCTGGTGGAAGATCAGAGCCTCAGGTGAGTACCATGAGAGACTTCAGTCTAGTCCTATTCTCGTTTCAATGAAAATACCGCAAAATTATACGCTTCGCGCAAATTCCTCTTTCGCGATGCCTTGTTATTTTTTGTTCAATTAAAATATCTTATCTATTTAATTAAATTATTGAATATAGATTATTTTTAATTAAATTTGTTAAACTGATATTAAAGATTTAGATATAGCATTGTTAATATAAAAAATAAATCTCTGTAGAGAACATTCAAAATGTTCTCGTATTGTAAAAAATATATGCCAGTGAAAAAAATATGCATTTCGAAATAAAGCATGTCTTCGTTTCTGCCAGGTAACTCTTCGATCGATAAGAAAAAAAGTAATAAAAATACATTGGTCATTATGATATCTGTTTGCCGAAAAACAAGAACTGATCTGTTAATTAAGACAACTGGCTTCCTGAAAAGCGAAACACTTTGATGAAGTTGTTGACTGAGCCAAATGTGTTTTCCGCTTGGAGGCTAACGCTTTAATGATTGTATCTTTCCTCAACACGAAGGTCGCTACCTTGTGCGAACCTGGCGAGGTATACCTTGCTCAACATATGGGAGAGCAGGGTCGATGGGTTTCCTCGACCGACAAGAAGAGCTGCATGACGGACAAGCTGGAGATTCTGGAGTATTGTAAGAAGGTAGGAAAAAAAGTCTATAAGATCACGCAACCATTAAATTCTTTCACACGTATAATAATGTCGGTGATCGGCGTTAGGCATATATAGTCGATTATAAGAGTTATATATAGACATTAAAAATAGATCCCTGACATTTTTCTATTACCATCAAACTTTCTAGCTCTTCTCTTTGCATCTTTTCCTCTATCCTGCGAGGAACACACGTAAATATTTTGCCAGCGAGATTGTTTGAAATTTTTAAAAGAAACATTAACGATCCACCATATAATCTCGGTTACATAAGCTAGAACCAAAACCTGCCGATTTAGAAAATTATTACGATTGACTTTAATTTCGCAAAAATCTTGTAGTTTCGAAATCAGCAAGGTTCTGTTTTTATCTTTCATCAATGCACTTATTTATCGTTGTTACTAGCATGAGAAATATTTGATCTTTTCACGTTTTTGTTGGGTATTAAACGAGGTAGCTTGTTTGTATTAAAAAAGATTGATAGGAAGAATTAATGATGGATAACGACGTATCATAAACAATTTACATTCCGAATCTTTAATAGAGCGCGGTGAAAGGCAAAACTTACCTTATGAATTACTGGATAATAACGTTCTCCATCCTACTTATATGCGGTACGTTCACGCAATCCACTGTGCATATGAGACAGAGATAAGTGAGCAGTTCGACATGTGCTCATGTTTGCTCATACATGAGCATGAAAAGACAAGTTTATTCGTCAGTGTAATTTGTGTTTATTTCAATTTATTGATAGGGCAATGCAATGTGGCAGTGCAAAGTCCTATCTTCCAAAAATTACTCTCCAATGAAAGCTCTTGGGATGATAAAATGTCAATTACTTATATAAGTAATTGTTCATATTTTTGAATACGAGAGATTATTTACGTCCGACTCTTTTTAGAGTATGGAAGTTGACATAACTTATAAAAAATATAAAACAATGTAAATGAAGGAGCGAGTTAGGGAACGCGAAGATGTGAAGAATCAAGGAGAGTGTCGTTGATATGTTGCATGATCCACTCGATCATATTGTTATGTCAACTTTCATACTCTAGGTGGTGTAGAACATAAATGATATCATATTTAAAAATATAAACTACAATTACATAGGAATATACAATGATTGGCAGAAACATTGCAATATTGAGCAATGATCTTTAAACAATTTTTGGAAAGTAGGGCTCTGCAATCCCACATTGTTCTATAATAAATTGAAATAAACATAAACGATCATACGATAATGACTGAGCTAGTGGACTCGAATTTTCTATTTTTCAAGTTTTTTGTTAATTATGTAGTTTTGTGGTATCTATGTATAAATTTTTTCCAAAATCTAATACGACATTTTGTAAATCTTGTATTTATCTATAAAAAAAATCTATTAGTAATATCTAAGTATTGTTGCCTCGTACTGATTATAAAAATCGCTGTCCCGCTCTCGTTTGGGAAACATCAAAATGTAAATTATTCGGATCGATGTTTAAATTATTAAACGAAGTCAGGGGATCGAGACTAAACTCTCTTGAATCTTTCTTCTCGACTCGACTATTTAGAGAGAAAATCGGGCCACTCGCGAACGAATTATTAATTAAGGCTAGGCGTGTTATTCAACATCGCGCCCAGCGCGGCGATGCTGCCGTTGCCCTGCAGGCAGGATTAAGTCGTTTATAATCTTCCGGAGCCGCGTAAATCGAATTTTCATCCCTTCGTTGACGCGCTTCAGTCGCGACAAAACACAGAATTACGCGGTTCGTTACCTTTCCCGCCATTCCACCGTGAAAATAACGTTAATCTTCGCCGATGACTTTATTGCGAGATTGCATCGGTCCACAATCGTTGCATCGCAATTGTACTTTACTTAAATTTCTTCGCGTTAATACGTGAAAGCTCGCTACAAGTACGATATTCGCGTGCCATCTAATCTTTCCTCGTTGATAAACCCTTCGCGAATATTTTCGTTTAATCCTTCATAAAAAGATTAAAAGAGAGAAGTTTCCGAAGATCTAGTTATTTGAATCCCCTTTTAAATTGCTCATTACAAAATAAGTCAAGAGAAATTCTTACAAAGTCTTAAATTTAAATTTAAATTTTTTAATTAAGATTTTACGATTCTTCAATTTAAATTACGTTTATCAAAATTATAATTACGACTTTATTTGTATTTTCTTTATTTTATTGTATTGTTGTTTATTAATATATATATAAGAAAAAATTTGATAAGCAACTTTAATAAAAGTAAATTTTTAATGTTGATTTCGAAATTGGATTATAAAAAAATATACATATTTTAGTTCAATTACCTTATCGTTGTTGAAACTAACGTCGCACCACCTGAGTCTCGTTAGATTTAATTCGCACATTACGTCGGCTCGTGGAGTAAGAACGTGCGTTTTTGCGGCCTCTTAAACGGAGATTAAACAGTCGCTCGTTCGCGATAATAATAGGTTCGCCAAGTATGCGTGTATATTTGATAATTACTTCTGGGCGCACGATTGGTCGAACCACTTGCTAATGCGGTACTTACGGTGGGTCCCTAATCTGCATCTAATTTTTTTCTTCCAGGCTTACCCGAAGAGAGACATCACCAATATCGTCGAGTCGTCGCACTACGTCAGGGTGAGCGGATGGTGCAAGCCCGGAAGAACCAAATGCAAGCTCTCCCGATGGGTCAAACCTTACAGATGTTTGGGTGAGTAATAATTTTTAACTGACATTTTTGCGCTATATCGAAAATCTGTATGCGATCTGTAGGCGATTTTTTGCGAGATTCTGGTATAATAACCAAAGTGTACCAAACTGTACCAGAATATTTTCGCGTGTTTGATTATTAATAATAGAAACATAGCTAGCCTTTTAAATCATCTTATTCTCATTATGTCTCTTCTATCATATATCACGTTAGAATAAGAAACTATTTTTAAATAGTAATTCATGCGAAAAAAGCAGTAGTTTTAGTATAATAGCTGTACGTACAGATTATCAGAATAAGCTCCATCCCTATCAACATCTATCAATAACAATCTTGGTACATATACCAAACGATCGCTGAAAATCTCTTATTATACGTCAGTCTTTCGTGAGTCTCTATCGTCAGTGGCAAAAATGCCCCTTTCACGGGCAATTAAATATTGAATCTCTATAATTTTAGTAAGTTAAATTTTCACTGTGTGTAGGTGAGAAAGAAGGTCAGGCCAATTTTCACGTATATCTGTATCGTGATCAATCTCAATTTGGGTCAAAATATAAAACAGTAATCTGTCACGGATATCGTGAGACACGTAAAACCGCGAGCTGTCTGAACAGGATGTCGAAATCAATATAATAATGTAACTGTCAATATATATATATATATATATATATATATATATGTATATACATATATATCAGTATCATCAGTGTGGATTTCTGTGTACGATATAATGTGGATCTTAATCTCAGTATTTGCCGCATCGATTTAGTTGGGGCTGATGGTGGGATACCATGCGTTAATATCAGTTAATATTAGCCGTAAAAATTCTTACGAGACTCGCGGCAACTTCGATTCTTGACTTGAAAATTGCAAAGAGAAGACCATCGCAAAGAGAGCCGGGTGGACTGATCGATCGCGGCAGCGGCGTTGCGACCGTGAGAAACTGAGAGATCGATCTCTCGGCGGCGGGGATTTAGTTATAAATTTAGCAGGACGCTCGATCTGCTCCGGACGGAAAAATTCAATTTGCAGAGTCAATACGCTGTGTAACGGACAACGCGATATCTGCTGTCGGATTGTCTGCCCAGCTGCCTTCCTTGATCAGCCTTTTTATCGCGCTGAAGAACGAAAAAACTATCACGTGACATTGCGCAGCAGTGAGATTCAAGATCGGACTTACTTTCCTTTTTTTTCCTTTTCCTTCCATCTCCGAGTGTATGAGTACTCGGTGCCAACTGACAAGCATCTCCTCGAAGCGACTGTATCTTTATTGCGACTCGCGAGTTCCTTTCCATGCGATTGAATTCAGTGCAAGAAGAGGGATAAAAGTAGATTCGTAATTTATTAAATCTATTTTATGTAGGACGTTAATTAAAGTGGACCTTATAAATCATAAACTTACTTCGCGAAACTCTTCCATTTGCGAGGAATACTTAATTGTGGAATATTCTAAATCGAATAACTCGCGCGCACGAGAAGTTTGAAGAAACGTAGCAGAAACATGAGACATTCGTTAAGACGAGAGAAGAATGTATTTGTACAAGGAGCATCTTGCTACTACAAAATATAATACTTTGTTTTATTTTAAACTTGCTTTAACATAATTCTAATTAGAGCAGTAAACGCAAATGTGTTTAATTAGAAACCGAGGAGCTACAAGAGTAATGATAATAATTTTAAAATTTCTTTTAAAAATTTATTCCAAATTTGTCTTACAAATTGTCATTAAATTCTGATTCGATACACGATGCATTTTACAAACAATATTATATAACGTTATAATATAACGTTCACTCCTTCTTTATCATAAGTACCTTTTTATCTACTTTTCAATATCATTAAAATGAGTAATTGAATCAAAACGTGAATGGAATAACGACATAAAACACATTTGTCATCAGTGACGTATTCCCTGGAGTGAGATCTCATAAGTAGATGATATAACAGTCATTTATTTGTACACAGGATGAGAACTCTGAACTCTTCTTCGTATCATCTATTTCCAACGCTCCAAGATCCATGCCTTATTTTCTAATTGTGTTAGATAAATGCTATTATTCCGGTATGCTGGTCACGTTTAGATGGCCATTCTTAACCTTCGCGTCTTGAATTGCGTGTTTCACACATTCTACAAAGCTCCATTAACTTCCTTATCGAGTGGTTTCATAAAAAAAAAAAAACCAATCATAAAAGATTTTTATGTAATTATCTCGTTTTAATAACACACTTGAAACGCTTTTTGCAAAAATATGCTTGCATTTGTTTACTTTTCTTTATGTAACTTCTGCCATTCTTTCATAGAAGAATGATACGCGAATGGACAAATCGGTGGTTAATACCCTCAAAGAGTCTGCGTGACTAGTTCTATTGATCAGCACTGATGAACGTACCGATGCGTCATCCGCCAGACGCGTGTCCATTCCGCCGTCTCTTCTTTCTCCCTTTTCTTTCGCGCACTCTCCTATCACGTTTTATCATAAAAGAGTAACAGACATTTGGACAAATATACTACTGAAAAATGGTCACTATTCTTTTTGGACTTTGAGTTTTGTGAAATATTTTCAAATATATATAACATGCGGATTTGCGTGTATATTCTTAATCATTTGTGTATGTCTACATAAAGTGTCTTGACATAAATATTTTAGGAGCAGATTTTCCGATAAATTTTTAGGAAAACTTTTAAGAGAGTTCATTACTATGCTGAAACTTTTTAATATTCAACATTGAGCGACTTGATAATTAAACCTGGAATTAAAATTCTGAGAAAGTGCTCTTGAATTTAAATGAACAATAAAGTCTCGTTATTTGCTTATATTTTGAAAGCATAGTTTAAGAAAAATTTTTCATCTTAAATTGTTTATTACTTGAAGACTTACTACCTTGACATTTTAGTTTAGAAAAAAATCCCTTCTAGATCTTGTAAAAGAATCTGTCGTTAAAATTATAATTAAACATTTTGAAGGAATCGAAAGAACTGAAGAATTTAGAGGAGCAATAATGCTAATATCTGTTAATATCTGGAGAATCTAGAAGACCAATAATATAAAATTAAAATATTGAATACGTAAGATTTATTTTAGGTGAGGATATATAAAGTTTCACGATTGGAGGGAAGTCCCTTACACGCGGACTCGCTATTGATTTCGGGTATTTCATATATTTCGATATATGCGCACAGGTATATATATAAATAGTCATCGGTAGATTCGTGCCTTGACTGCCAATATAATTCGTAGAATTTTCTCTTCGTAGAATGATAGAGACAGATTGCATCGTCGGTCGGAAATAGCGAATAAGACTAAATATCGGCGATGCGCGACCTTTACTGGTTTAATCGAGCCTTTCCTTGAATTCGAGTCACTGCAATATGTACCGTTTCTTACTTTCAGAGGGACCTTTCCAGAGTGACGCACTTCTCGTGCCAGAGGGCTGTCTCTTTGATCATCTTCATAATCAAACAAAATGCTGGGAATCTCACAGGTAACGAATTTATATATGCGCGAATATCGTCTGCGCCAAACGGAATTAATTCTCGAGTGAGTTTAGATTCACGATGTCGCGTTTCGTCAAAGCGATCAAGCGAGTCGGAAGAACAGCTTAAGTCCTTTCTTCGCGAAGACACATTTGATCCAATTACTCCGACATGATACAGCGTTAAATTTACTATTAACTCTTACCCTACAAGATATAATTTGGTGCTTCATTCATACAAACGGGGGTCACTAGATTCATCCGTTTTTTTTTTTCACCTATTCAGAATGATTAAAAAAATCTCTAAAAAATTCAACATACTTTCAGCTTTCTAGAATAAATATTGGAACTAATAATAATTTATAATTACCGAAAGACTCAAAACTTACACGAACAGAAATCGGTCACTAGTGATCGGTCACTAGTGAATCGATCACCCATCTTGTAGGGTAAGGGTTAATTATATTATTAGCGAATTTTTATACAAAACGGATCTTCTCTCGCTTTCGTTTTTTTTTTTTTTTCACATTGTATGCACTGTCACAAATTTATTTTTCTATATTTATTCACTCGACCTTATTGTTCTGTTATTCCATCGTGCAATTAAAAGCTACATTTAATTACTTCGCTGATAAGTGACGCAATCTGCTATCCACCTGCTATCTACACGTTTATTTTACACCGACGTAAAATAAACTAACGTTATATTTTACGTCGATGGAGATGGCGGATTATCAGGGCCTATTTATCCGTGTCGTGGTTGAGTCAGGAGCGTGCGTTCTCCTCGAGTACACGTGACTGCATCAAGTGGATTCGCATTTCCAGATGGAACTCCACGGCGGCGGAGACCTGCCGGGAGCGGAACATGAATCTGCGTAGCTTCGCGATGTTGCTGCCGTGCGGTATATCTCTGTTCTCCGGCGTAGAGTTTGTATGCTGCCCGAAACACCTGAAAGGTACGTAACGTACGTACGCTCTGCCTTATCATCATTCATTCGTGTTCTCATTTCACGCGCGCGCGGAAGACGCGGCGAATTGTGCGGATCTCGCGGATGAGAAGGGACGAAGGGCGGAGAAGCGAGCACGAGGAAACGAGCGAGCCATCGCGTATTTTCGTATTCGCGAGAACCGCACTGGCACTCACGTTCATCTTCATGCATATTCTATCGGTGCGAACGTTTCGCTGCGTCCGCATCTCCATACCATGACATCCTTTCCAGACGCGAGCTCGCGGGCTCGGGTGTCTTCTTGGTGCGAGGTCATTTTACCGTAAAGTGGAAATACTTGTGTGACGATCTTATTTCAAGATTTAACTCGTGAGAATCCCTCCTATAGACATGTTGTGCTTTCGATATAACAAACTTAAGTTGTATTTAGTGTATAATTGTTTGCTATATAAATTACATATAACGAAATGTAAGCATGTAACATGTAATCACACTGAGAGAAAAGTATATCGTATTTGTGATTAACTATAATTGCATGGTAAAATAATTATGGTTAGAAGCATTATTTTTATAATTATTATTGCTATAATATTAGTGACAATAACCTTATATATATATATATAGTTACAACATTTTATAGTATAATTTACTATATGCAAATGTGATTTATGTATAAGATAACCATACAATTAGTTGAATGAATACATATTATGGTCGTTATGATCATAATTCAATGTTCAGTTTACTATAATTCACATGGTCAAAACAAATATAAATTTATGGTTTTGTCCCAGAAAATGACTATAAATTATAATTAAATTATGGTTATTCTAACAATTTTTTTTCTCTCAGTGCATGTAAACATATAAATTAAATTACACGTAATAGTTTACTACATGAATTATCTGAAGAATAGCGTTTATTTTTTGAAATAAGGTCTTCATATTGCAACTTTTAATTAATTCCAGGGCTGTCTTCCAAAATTCACTGTCAGCGAAGAAAATATGTGACTTACATTACATTACAGTAGATTTTTAGTACTGACAGTGAGTTTTGGAACACAACCTAATTTATTAGGTGAATAAATGAACAGTGGAACCAAGTGGAACGATGAAACATTAAACAATCTTGTTGGATGTGAAATTCATCGATCTATAAAATCCATTAATCTTCGTACTTGCATTTGTCACTTTGATGATACCATCAAACTCCTTCTTTTACGTTTGTATATCAAGCTTTTCAACGTTTTACATTATTCGATTTTTGCTTTAATACCACACTATTATTTCTTCGCCTTTCTGTTATTTTTCATTTTGTTGAGCGGAGCGATTAATAGAACGCGTGTCTATCAAAAAGTATATTGGAAAAGAGAAGATGGTGAAGCATGAATATTTACGACCAATTCGCGGCGTATTTATTGCACGGTGGAAATATCCGGCGTTTACGCTGTTCGTTTCCAATCGACTGTCGCAAAGAACAAAGAGAAAAAGAGAGAGAGAGAGAGAGAGAGAGAGAGAGAGAGAGGAGGACAAAGAGAAAAAGAGAGAGAAAGAGAAAGAACGGCCATAGGAGGGTGCAAAGAGTGTATTAAGCGAGGGGTACTACCTACTTCGCCTCGTCTCCTTCCTCGTTTCCTTCCAGCACCCCGGATGGCTCGTGCCACCCTTCGCAAGCTCTCTCTTTCTCTCTTTCCCCCTCTCTCTATATACATATATCTCCATCTTTCTCTTCCTCTCATCGCAAGCTCTCTTGTCTTCTCTCTCCCTCGTGCAATCAATAATGTTCACCGCCGACGGTCCCGACGACTGCGCAACGTAACACGCCGTAGCTTTCGGCGTCGCTGCGCAACTTTTCTTTCCTATACACCACATATATAATGGGCTCGATTAACACACACGGTGCTGTCCGCTATGTACCACCCGCTTGAATCCTATACTCCATTATTTTCAGCATAGGTAATGTAACTTCGGGGGATGACGTGTCGTCCGAGGAATGAAAAATGGGCTTCACGGCGTACGTCAAATAAAACCGAGATACATATTTCGAGTATTACCACTAGTCACGCGGACCAGTTTGGTAATTCATACGTTTGAACAGAACGTGGAATTTTCATTCTTTTAGAAACTTTGCTCAGTAAGCTTTAATTTATTCTTATGATAAAATGGAGTTAATTAAAGACACAAGAAATTGAAGATTCAAACAATAAGTGATCGATATGTAAATATACAAACTCAGTAAGAAAA